ACTGTGGGGCAGGGCACCCTGCCTGGGAGGGAGGGAGCTGCCTGAGGGGGGACACGACAGGAGTAAGCCCCCCAGGGCAGGGCATCCCCCCAGGGGCCACGGGGTCACGCGTCCATGGGGCAGACGGACCACGCAGAGGGTCTCAGATAAGGGTTAAACCTGGCAGCTTAATCTGGACCCAAAACTACGAGGGCATGAGCAAAGAGGAGTCCCAGCGCCTGGGGAAGCACAGCGCCCAGTGGAGGTGAAGGAGTGCATGGATGGAGGGGCTGGACCAAAACAACCGCCCCAAATCCTACACCACTGAGTGCTGCCACTGCTCCGCCCCAGCCAAGGACCCCTCCCGCCCCGCCTGCCCCCAGAGACCCCTGAGGAGATGCCTTACCTGGAAGTTGCCGACCATGGTGAGGCCGGCAGCGCGGCCCCAGCCGGTGGCCAGCCCCAGGGGGTTGAGGAGGGAGGGCCCGAGGCGCTCCAGGAGGTGGGCGTAGCGCAGCAGCCCCACCAGGATGACTGCAGGAGACACAGCCCCGTCGCACGCCCCTGCCTGCAGCCCCCCCCATTTGCCCCTGCCCCCCAGCCAGGGGGTGAGCTCCGCAGGGCATCCCGCTCCTGGCCCCGCTCCCCCAGAAGTGGGCACTTACCCATGAAGGAGCCCAGGCTGCAGATGAGGCTGAAGAAGCAGCTCTCGGGAGGCAGGGTGCCACACTTGCTGCGGGGACAAAGCAAGGCCCGGGAAGCCCTCAGCCGGGGGGCACTGGGGTGCAGCGCTTGCCCCCTTACCCAGGACATGCTCTTGGGCTGCCCTGGGGGGGCTCTCAGAGCAGCTTTGACCCCCAGCCACCCCCAGGCTCCCACGGCTGCTCACCTGACGAGGGGGATGTGGTCCAACGTGCAGCAGGAGCCAGGGCCGTCCATGCCGCATGACTGGTTGTAATTCCTGACGGGAGCAAAGGGACGGGCTAGGAGAGCCGAGCTGCTGCCTCCTGCCCACAGGCCCTGCAAGGGCAGCAGAGTTGCTCCCCAGCAAGTGCAGCCGGACCCCAGAGATGTGCCCACACCCTGGGGACAAGACCCTCCAGGGAGTGACCCACCGCCCAACAGGGTCCTCCGGGAACATCACGCCTGAGTTTCCACAGCCTGTCCCCTGCCTGCTGGCTCTGCTGCCTGCCCGGAGTCCCTGCCTGCAAGGGAGAGGCCGTGGCGGGGTGGGGGGCTGCACCCATCCACTAGGTGCGTGGGCTGGGGTGCTGGGCTCAGGTGGTTTTTGCAGCCCCACACCCCAGGTGGGAGCAGGAGCACCCATGTGCCAGTCCCGTCACACACATCCCGGGGTGGGAGCGGAGCACGGGTGGAGCCGGGCACGCAGCCACCGACAGCTCCGGGCTTGCATGGGACAGGCGGGAACGCCAAGCTGAGCGGGAAATGGCCCCCATAGCCTCAAGCACTCTGGGGCAGTGCACCCTGCCTGGGAGGGAGGGAGCTGCCTGAGGGGGGACACGACAGGAGTAAGCCCCCCAGGGCAGGGCATCCCCCCAGGGGCCTCTTAGCAGCCCCCCCGCCAGGCTGGGGCAGGGCGCCCCCCACTCCCCACAGAGCCCTGGAAGTGCCTCCGGCGGCCGCAGACCCCATGAGCCCAGGCACCCCGAGCTCTTATCAGCCCGAGACACCTTCGTGTACCGCAGCGGCTGCCTGCAACCATAACCACATTCCCCCCTGCAGGGGTACGTGCCCCCTCACCCTCCCGGCTCTCCCGGGAGCTGGCACACGCTCACAGTGGGTTTTTGGGCACCCCATTGCTGGGGCACGGCTGAGCAGGGTCCCCTCCCTACCCCACAGGCAGGGAGCCCAAAGCCCTGTGCCCCAAAGGGTCCCCCCCAGGCCCCCCCAACCCCCCCAGCAGGGCTGGCAGCCATGGGGGGGCCAGCACCACCCTGGCCCTGGCCCAGGCTGACCATCAGCTGCCTCCAGCCGCTCAGCAAGTGCACGGTTAAAAAGGCCTTTTTGGAAAGGGCCGGGCTGGGCTCTGGTGTTTTTTTCAGTCTTCTCCTTTACTGGTGGCTTTGTTTTCCAACCGCGAAACCCCGGGCAAGGCGTGGAGCCCCACGGCCTCCTCGAGGGCTGTTCTTGGGGCAATGTTTGGTTTGGGAGGGGTTTTTTTATTATTATTTTGTTTAAAGTGAGCAGCCTGAGGCCGGGAAGCATTATTCATCATTAAGGGCTGGCTGTGTGGTGGAGACAACCGACACACACATTCTTCCCAGGGCAGAATCAGCCATCAGGCAGGAAATGGCAGCGGGTTTTTTTTTCCCCCCTTCTCCTTCAAACACAGCAGCAAGAATTAAACTAACATGGATTTTTCTGGGCAGATTTTTAAGGAGACACAACAAGCCAAAAACCTTGCAGAAGCAGTTGCCAAGAGAGCAAACAGGGTTTTTTTCCCAGCCCTCGCCTCTCCCACTCCTCATCCCCCATCCCGGGGTGCTGCAGGCAACTCTGCCCGTGGGGTGGCCGGGTGCTGCGGGGCTGTCCTGTCCCCCTGGCACTGCCAGAGTTAGCCTCAAGCAAGCAAGCCTCAACCTTTTCCATGGAGACACACGGCCCTCTGTAATTCCCTGACCACTTATTTTCATACTTTCTCCACGCAGTGTTTTTTCAATGGCCTCCTTCTCCCTGCCTGGTTTGCAGCAGGGCTGGACCATTCACCGGAGCAGCCGTAACCACGGGCGAGCCTGGGCTGGGGGGGAGGGAGGGCGGCTTTTGATAGCCCTGCTCGGCCCTGGTGTCCTCACCGCTTTGTAAACACGGGGCCCAACCCTGCCAGCAGCTAATCCCCAAGAGGCTCCGCTCCCAAAAGCCACTTGCAGGGCTGGCCGGGAGATGTGTCCTTGGGGTGACTGCACCCCATCGCTGTCACCACCGTATCTCCTGGGGCAGAAGGTGGCTCTGTGCCCCCCTCGATGCTCCCACCTCTCCCACCATCTCAGGCCCCCCCCCCAGGCCAGCCTGGCCCCTGATGCCCCTCTTTCAGCACTGTGATGGTGCAGGGGGGGCTTTGGCTTCCCAGTGGTCTGGCACAGCACGGCAGGGTTCAAGTGGGACAGGTCTGGAGGGGAACCTGACATTACCGGGGTCTTGAGCTGGTCCTTGGCAAAGGGCCCCCGCCACCCTCCCAGGCCTTACCAGTTGTGGACGGGGCAGATGTGGTTGTTAGAGAGTGCCATGGCGTACCTGGGGGAGAGACAACAACAGGGATTACCCCAGCTGCCTGCCTCCCTGCATCCCCGCTCCCGGCTGGCCCCCGGGGCCAGCCCCAGGGACCAGCAGTGGGAGCGGGGGGTACAAGCCCTCGCTGCCTGCCACGGGCCAGCGCTCTCCCTGGGGCACCTCCCACCTTTGCAAAGCAAGAAAAAGAAAAGCAAGTGCATGAGCCCAGCCCATGCTCTGGGGAGCTCTCACTGCCAGAACCAGGTCCCCCTGCCCGGTACCTCCATCCCCACCAACAGCCACCCCCTGCTCCAGTTCAGGGTGGACGCGGCTGCGCCTGCAGGGCCCTCTGCACTGCTGCACTACCTGGGCTCTGGGGGGATGCTCTGCTGCAGAGCCCCCCACCCCAGCTTCGGGGCTCTCCACCAGCCTACAGCAGTGCAGGTGTCACCTGATGGCCACTGGGCTCTGCTGTGCTTCCCCCGGCCCCTGCCTGGCCGGTGCCCGCAGCTAAAAGAAATCTGGAAAAGTAGCTGGGGCGTTGGGGGGGGGTTT